ACTGGAAAATCTGGGTCATTCTAGCAATATCAGGAGTTTCAGTAAGACTACTACTATTTAGCGTTTTCCTTTCACAATATGTCACAGTGATTCAATCTTCAATCTCCTTTAAAGAACTGGGCTTTAAACAAGTAAGGAAAGAACATACTATCCATAGTACTCTTCATTTTTTACGTGAGTAAATAAAAATTTAACATACCCCTAGGAGCCACTCAATCTTTCTCCATTTTGAGAAGGGTGAGATATGAAACCAGAAATAACATTAATTACCTTCACTGTTATCACATACTTGTAAGAGTTAATAGGACTTTCTCTAGCTTGACTAAAGATGACTTGGGGTTTACTGTTTGATTTCTAGGGATATTTTAGCCTACTGAATGGTTTATGTCAGAATCCAAATGAATGTGAAACTACTTAAACCTCAGGCTTTTAGGAAAAGAATCTCATAATACAACAGTTAGAGGAACTAGATGGAAACTACCTATACTTGTTTACTATTGCAGTTCTTAATCCTTCACTGGTAGCCCACTAAATTCAAACTCTACATAGGGTTTCTTGCTTGTAACAATATTAAATATTAAAACTTCCAGATGCCTCTTTTCTGACCTTGTGTCCCAGCAGCAATGACTCTCAGCAAGCATCACTCTAGCTCCTGAGGAAATGGGCAGCTGGGGGCTCTCAGTAGCTCTGGCCCATTTCAGGCCCCTAATTTATTAGTGTTGGGAGGAGATCAAGAATTGTTTTTAAGTAGTATTTTGCTATACTGCTCTCCACTTTCCAATGGCAACGGTTTCTATAACCTTAGGATAAGAGTGCTGAATTTAGTGAGTCAGGTTTTCTTTTCTATCATAAAGTTCAGAGATTATTCAAAGACAGTAGATTTTTCCAATTTGTTAGATCACATTAGTGCTCTATGACTAATATTTGGTGCCTGATTGATCTTGGAAAAAAAATATTTTTTTGAAGTTCTGACAGTAAATTCTTTCCTAAAAAAACTATATGCTCATTTATATATTCTGCTGTCTTCTCTTTCCCAGTTAATTAAACTCTTTTCCTCCTAAAAGGAGTACCAACCCAGGTCACTGACTTTGACTTCTCTACTGCCTCCTCCTATTCCTTCCTTTCTTCCTATAATAAATATATTAACTTACTAAATACCTACTATGCTCTAGGTACTAAGGACATAAATCAATTAGTAAATTTCTTAGATTAATGGAATATGAAGATGTAGGAAGTAAACTGGGTCTTTACTGAAAGATCCATGGAACAAATATTGCTCAAGAGCAATTCATGATCATTTTCCTTTTAAAGATCTCTCTGTTCTAATGTTCTCATAAATTCTTCAGGGGCACAGAATTCCAAGAAAACTGAGACATGTTTAAATGTTACAAAGAACAAAAGACTTAGGAAGCATTAATCTAAGATATGATTACCTAATCTGAAAACAGTAGATTTCAAAAACTTCATTTCCTATTTTATAAAAATAAGATCTAACTCTCCCCAATACTTTCAATCTTTTCATTTTTATATAATTCCAAACTACAAATCATTCTATGAGCTTTCAAGTTTCTATAGTATATATTCATATAGTATATAAAGTTGTCTCTCTGAGGCAAACTCCTAGGCTTTTAAGAATTTTTTTAATTCTTGCATACATTCAACAAATAGTATTTATTGAGTTTCTCTACCAGAAACTATGTCACGTAAAGAAAACAAGCATCCCCAAGGAGTTTTAAGAATCCTCAACATTAAATATTTTCACAGCTTTTCAAACATTTACTATATAATTACAGAAAGAATAAAGACTTTAGAAGTAGACAGATGGAGCAAGGTTTAAGTCCCAGCTTTATTAAGGGGTAAAGTTAATCAAGTTATTTATTCCTTTGAGTACTGATCTCATCCTCTGTAAAATGGGGATATCATCTAGCTTAAGGAGCTGTGAGGATAATTAAAATGTCTAGTAGGATACCTGACCTAAACAGAATCTATTACATTATTTTTCAGTTCTGAACAATCACCGCAAAAACTAGGATGATTTATACTATTAATGAACATCCTTGCAAAAAAATACTGTCTAAACTATATTATATGCAGACAGTCATGTAAGAAGTGTCAAAATTCAATTTCATGCTATATATTTCCTATCATCTTATAAATATCCAATGTATTTCCAATTAATAAAGAGGTCAAAATGCATTTTGAAGAAATAACATTACATCATATGCACAACATATTAAAGATCCTCACAAGTAAGTATACTGCTTCTTCTTAAGCACACATAGTCTAGTAGCTGTTTAGGACTCCCACAGACCCCACCTATGTCCATCAAGAAACTACTTTTTAAGGCTGGAGTTCCTAGACTTTAACCTCAGAGACTCAGTGGATGCACTAAAGGGTAGTTCCAAGCAATGAGATTCCCCTTTTCTGACAAAGAACTGCATCTATGAAAGCTTTGAGAGCAGTAGTTGCTGATTGGTTAAAGATATCTAAAAAAAGACCAAATCATCTTTTGAACCAAGTATAACCACCCCCCAACACTGTACTTTTCTGGAAAATATTTCAGTGCTTTGAAGGAACTAGCATGCTTCCCAAAGGGCCAAGTTTGAATTTGAATTTTGGGGTAAGAAGAGACTTTACACTCCCTGCTTCCCATCCTAGCCCCAGCAATTCAACGAAGAGAAGCGGAGAACATGGGAGGGATTTCCCCAAGATACATGGCTACCGGCAGAGGCTGGAGTAGACAGAATTCAAGTACCTGACCAACCCAGTGTTCTGCTCAAAAGAGCAAGCTTCCAATTCTATTATAATAAAGGAATGGTTTATGCACATGTGGCTAAAACAAAAGAAAGTAAGTTCTGAAAATATGGTTCGGTTATTACTTAGTGGGTTCTCAGTAAGGTAACTTTTAATCAATGTGAAGAAAATCATAAGAACATTATTCTATGAACTAAAATAAGCATTATCAGCTTCTCTGAATTTGAGGGACATTAAAAATTGCTGTGACTGCTTCTAAGTCACTTTTGTTTAAAAGGGTTTTAAAACTAAAAGGCCAAGTCAGCAAACTTAGAGTTGGGAGAACTGACAATTTATTTGCGACTAAATGCAGAAATTCTTTCTAGAACATTCTGACAACTGACCAATCAGACCACTGAAGACTTCTCCCCATTACAAGCAGTTCTGCCCTCCACAACAACACTGAATTAGTCTAGTAACTTTTTTGTTTCATGGTGACTTTTCAGATATTTAAAGCTAGTGATCAGTCTAGCAGTCCCCTTTTCTCTTCTTCTTGATAAATTTATGAGAATATCAAAAAGTCCTTGGAAATAGCTCATATAAATCGTATGTGGCTCTATTCAGTTCAACAAAAGTTTATCAAGTTCCAGGTACTGTGCTAGATTCTTAAAGTATAAGAGAAACAAGACACAATCCTTGCCCTGGAGGAGCTTACAATATAGTGGGGAAGAAAAGCATAAACAGAGATAGCTTCAATCTAGTACAGCAGGTGCTAAAATAGAGTCATGCACAATAAATTATACACAAGATTAGAAAACAAGGAAGGGATGAGGGGAAGGATACAGGGAATACAACAACAGCATTTTGCTAGGGTCACACATTTGGATCCGAATTCCTGGATTGAAAATTCTGCATAAACTATTCAACAATAGTTCAACCTACTCTAAACAAAATGTGATAGTTATTAGTAATCATATAGAGAGGATAATGAGCGATTGAAAATATGAAAATACAAATTCAGATTAGAGACATCATGAGTGAACATTAAAGCAATACATATTTGCTAAAATAAATTATTCCAGGAAAGATCTTAAAATCAATGGCAGATTCATAAAGAGGAGACTGGTTACTGCCTTCCAGTGTGGAAAGCAGAGTTGTGTGTGTTAAAAAGAAATTATTTGGTATGGCATCCAAGAAAGCATTCTCCTCATTCAACATTAATTTTTTCATGAAAATTCAGAGAATTACAACATGAATGCTCAGGATTTCCAAAAAAACGGCAAGTACAGTTTATTGTTGGAATAATTTTTTCCTTGGCCAAGAAACCTATTAAAGATGGGATCTGGACAAGTAAGTTGAACAATACAGTGAAATATCTCTCTTGAATATCAGGGTTGAACTTTATTAAAACTGTCATCTCTAAATTATTTTGGACTGTTACATGTAAGAAATAAGATTAAAATTCCTCAGACCATACTGTCTTGTATAAGGTCCAAAGTGCATGTCAACCTTCTCTGTGTATTTTCCTGTACACTAACAGCATTTATTTAGCACTCCAGTCAATGAAAAAAAGAAAATTAAGACTCTGTTTAGTACTATATAAATTCTTTACAATATATACAAACATGATCCCCATATTTTGGACTTAAGTATTTAATACATTTATTGTATTTAAACAGCAAATACAATTACTGTTTAAAAACAGTAATTTTTGTTTCTGCATGGTTCTCAATATTGGGATCTTTTTTAGTGGGAACAAGACACAAAATAAATGTGAGAATGCTTCTTATTTGTCTCATGTTTGTTTGTTTTTTAAACCACTCAGTCATTTTAAATTTCTTGGTTACAACAGGACATTGCTTGCCGATACCTGATTGTTCACAGGCCATTGAATATCACTCCTTCTAAAGCAGTATCCACAAATGGGGATGATTAGAACAAAAGCAGAGGGGAAATAGTTTAGATTCACCTAGAGAGGTTTTCCAAACTGTTACCTCACTGCCATCACAATTACAGAGAGGAGTGTTGAAATAATAACAAGATTGAAATCAAGGGTTTAGCTGGAACTGAATTTAGAAGTTATTGTCCTGCTAAAAGGATCTTAGAAAAAAAAAAAAACTAATGAGAACACCGCCCAGAGCTTCTGAAGATACTTAAATCTACAGAGGTTCATATTCCCAACTAAATCTAGTAAGGCAAGACACCAAAGGAGGAAATTATTTCCATCACATCCATGCGTAAGCAGTAAACTTTCAATTGGAGCTTACCTCCAATATTCTGAATTATTATGGTACCAGCCACCACCATCTACAAAAGAACAAATGTATTCAGAAGATGAAAGGGGAAATAATATAAAAAGATCAGTATTTTATTAAAATCCAATAACTATTCCTAAAAAACAGATGCAGAAGAGAAATTGAAAAGTAATTTTCACCAGCCATTTGTATATATAAAGCTAAAAATCATTACATAAAAAGGCGTTCTTTAATAGCTCCATGGTTACTATAAAAAACACTTGAAACTTCTCTTGGCAGTCATTTCTACACAGTTAAAAGTGTTTAAAAAAAAGCTAGTAATCAGTGGTTATCAAAGTACCAGAAAATTAAAATTGAATCTATCTGGTTTCATTCTCCCTTGCTGCTTTAGTGGCAGACTGAGACAGCCTGAGGTGTGCTGCGCCTATGCTGTATTGCTCAGAAGGAAATGATACAGTCTTTTGAATGTATTACTTTGGCATACAACAGCCTCTGAACATCCCTGTCCTGGCGATTAATAAAGTCAAGCACAGAAAACTCTACAACCCACATATTTGCAGATCTAAAAATGTAAGCAAAATGTTTCAAACTCAGTAATATGAAGTGGGCTTAGTTTAAAACAATAGGAGGTAGTAAGACAAGATTCCTGGGAAACTCAAGGCAACATTTTATTCATTCTTGGTAATCAGATGTACTCAGAGGAAATGATTAAACTTTCTGCTTCCAGTAGGGCCTCTGAGCACTCAAATTTTGGTGGCTCTGCACCCTGGATATATGTTTGGAGCTGACTAGCTTTCTGCGATCTTTCAGTCCTACATGGATTGGGAACAGATCACCTTGAGACCCACCTCTACTAGGAATTCATCAGCGACACAGCATTTGCCTATCCCAGAAACAATCTGTTATTGAGACCTAGAGGCCTTTGGGTTTGCAGAGCAAGGCTAATGATAGGAAAATTTGGCAAGATGTCTTTGAAGATGTAGTCATCACCAATCTAACATTTTCTAGAAAAAAACTTTCCATATCAACCCATTTAAAAATTAGTTCCAAAATATCACAGGTATTCGTGAAACTGGAAACAGGAAATTGATTATGATTATAGCAAAAATTCTAATCTTCAGGAAACAGAAATTGTTAACAGAGATTATTAACAAAACCCACTAACTTCAAGTAACATATTCTACATTTTGTTCAAGTTTCCGGTTATTAAGATTAGGTCCAAACCATGAGACTACATATTATGATTTAAATATTCCCTTTTGTACTTTAAAAACAAAGTTTACTTGAATGTAAATACAGGTTTCCCCCCCCTAATACATAGCTATATCTTTTTCCTCCTAGATTCACATCTTGAAGTTAATTTAGCCATCTACAAATATAGTATTCTTTTAGGTTAAAAACAAAATACACAAGCAAACAACACAAACAACAGATACACAAATTAAGAAAAAAAAGTCCTGCTTGGAACCAACATGAAAATGGGTTTTAGAAGCATGTTAGCTCTTCAGAAATAAAAGGTACTACAGCACTAACAAAAATATTTAACTCCTGGTCTTCTGTGGAAGAAGACAGTGTTTCCCCCACCTTTTTAATTAGTTTAGTATGCCTATCAAAAATGAATATGCAATAAATATTGCTCTTATTTCTCTTTTACTGAGGAGGAAAGGCAAAAGATTTTTGAATCTGGAGTTCTATGATGTAATACTAGCTTTAAGTAACTGAACAAATAGGCCCTTTCATTTCTCTGAGCCTTCATTTTCTCACCTATAAATGACAGGATAGCTAGCTAATCTTTTAGCATTGTGCAGCTCTTAAATGATAAGATCATCTAATTATTTTTTTGTAAATAGTCATGTTCTAATTTCAATTCTATTCTTTCTCCTGTCTTTTGAGGAATACAATCAAAATTAATGAAGAAAACTAAACACAGGCTATTGTTAGTGGTTTAAAATCATTCAAGTCATTGCTCTCCTTCATTAGAGTAAAAAATACTAAGACCGAAGTGTTGAATTAAATTTATTGATGGACTTTAAGGAAAGATGTATAGAGAGATTTCTTCTCTTTTTCTTCCTGCTCCCATCGTTCTGCTTTCTTCACTTTCAATTCCTTTGATTCCCCTAATTTCTTTCTCTTATGTATGCTTGTCTTTAAATAAGAAATGAAAAGAAAAAAGGCCTCTCTGGATTTTGGACACAGCAAGGAAAAAAAAAATCACCTTTCCAGGCAATCCAAATGCAAAGAGTCCAAGATCTTCATAAGATGTCACAGCTGTTAAGAGAAATCATCATTTTACTTTTACACAAAACTATTTGTGTGCCAAGTCTTAAAGGAAAGAAAGCTATTCCACTACTATGTTATAGCTGTGGGATATGCAGTCACACTAAATTTAAAGCAGAGGTAACCACTTTTTTGGGAACTTTGGAAGACTTACAGTTTGTAAGGATAGAATCCTCTTAGAATAAGTAGAGCTTAGCAAATTCCCAGTTCGCCTAACAACAACCTAGACTGCATTAATCAAAGGGAATAATGACTCAAGAATAACCCCACTTCTTACTAAACATACTTGCATACTACACTGTCCAAATGTTAAGTTTTCATTGGCACATTTCTGAAAACCGCATATGTAAATAAAGTTAGCTAAATTATGGGAGTTGTATCATACTTACAGAGACATTCACTTCTCCAGGCTACCAAGAGTGATAATAATATGTCTGTGATACAAACAATACCCTTGTTCCACAAGCAATAGGGTATAACTTTCTTATTTCATCATAAAAAAGTACGAAATTACATTTTCACTCCAAGTGTTCAAGAAGTGTGGTCACAGAAAAAATGAAAATTAAATGGCTCATAAAAGAACCAAATTTGTCCTTAGCCCATATAGCTTCATGCTCTAACTGGTGATGCCACTGGTAAAAATAAGCAAAGTAAAAACATTTGTATAATTCTATAGTTTGAAAAGAGTTTAACCTTATAATGCTTATAATAAAAAGAAGCAGACTAGCAGATGTAGTCTTGGTATAGCAACACATACTGAGTCAAGGTATGAGTCAAAAATATGGCTCATCATTTCTGAAGGCAAATTTTAATATATCCTTTCAAGATGTACATAAGTTTTCTTTAAACTGCAATTAACAAAAAACTGCTCAACACTTTCATAAACAAGACCAAAAGGTATGTAAAAATAAGCATTTTAAAAACCATAGTCTTGAGGGCGGAGCCAGGATGGCGGCGTGAGTAGAGCAGTGGAAATCTCCTCCCAAAAACACATAGAGCTATGAAAATATAACAAAGAAAAATCTTCCTAAAATAGAGACCACAGGACACAGGACAACATCCAGACCACATCCACACCTGCAAGGAACCAGTGCCTTGCGAAGGGGGTAAGATACAAGCCCCGGCCCGGCGGGACCCGAGCGCCCCTCCCCCCGGCTCTCGGCGGGTGGAGAGAAACCGGAGCGGTTTTTTTT